TATGGCTTGTTGTCTCCTCTCCAAGGAGAGCAATGCCAATTTCTCCACTCCAACCTCACAACTAATATCTGAAATTCAGAGCCTAATGATGACCACGAAGCCATTGTTGATTGTTGGAGAAAAGCAACTGGTTCACTAATGTCCTTTAGGGAAGGAAACTGCCATCCTTACCTGGTCTGGCCTACATGTGACTCCAGACCCACAGCAATGGGGTTGACTCTGGGCAATTATGGATGGGCAATAAATGCTGCCTAGCCAGTGACGCCCTCATCCCGTGAATCAATAAAGAAAATAAAAACCTGTAATTTTTCACCCCTGGACGCATTCTTGCAAGTTCCATCTGCAAATCCCTGGACAATTTAGCATGGCCAATCCACCTAACCTGCAAAGGAGGTTGTTCTCCTAACATGAGTCTTGAATCTGGCATCTTTGCTCAACTGACTTGAGGAAACCAGGCAGGGAATGAACAGCTCGGATTTGGAATGCACTTCCTGGTAGCAGGACAGCTTTTGAAGAAGGAAATCAATAAACGCTTGAGAGGAAATCAATTTAAGGGCCGAGCAGAGAGTGAGAGACCAGTGAAGTGGGATGAATTAGGCGAAGAGCCAGCACAGACAACATGGGCCAAATGGCCTCCGCTGTTGTAGGATTCTCTGAATGGGGTGCCGAAATGTTGTCTTTCTCACAACAAAGTGGATCTCAGGGTATTGCTTTGGGTCTCACAGCATGTGAGGAAGCACGAGGAAGAATAAATCGTCAACAGAGACCAGAATCAACTTGTTTGAAATCTGGTTGGACATCAATCCCTCAACAAATGTCATCCTTCTGCCAATCTCGATCAGCTGCTTTCTGTCTGGGCTTTCTCAAACCAGCAGTGCCCCACCCAGGATTGGGCCAAACAAGTTAAAAATCCCTCCTGTGAATTGTCACAGGGCATTGTCCTACAATCAAGGCACTACATAAATGCAAGTCATTGTGGTTGCTTTGTGTCCCATTCTTGTTCATTCGAAAGCCTAGATTCTGAAATGGACAGTAAGGTGTGCAGGTGTTCCTAGGGACATACCCGTGACAGAAAGCACGGTGTTTAATATTCAGGCACAATGGTTCATTCATTCAATGGGTTGTGGGAAGAAATTTATATTCAAATAGAATCACTGAAACTCTACAGTGTGAACGCAGGCTATTCGGCCCATCAAGTCCACACCGATCCTTTGAAGAGCATCCCACCCAGACCCACCCTATCCCTGTAACCCTGCATTCCCTATGGCTAATCCACTATGGGCAATTTAGCATGGCCAATCCACCTAATGTGCACATCTTTGGACCATCAGTGCTGCACTGTCAGTGGGTCATCCTGGTGGAGTGCCACACTGTCCACCCCCATCACCAAATCCTTCCCCAGTTTATCTTTGAATGTCTCTTTACTATCCACTTCGCCCACTACCCTGTTGTAGTGGGTCCCAGTACTGACCACTCTCTGCAGACTCCCCCCGAGTTCCCAATCAGATGTGTTTGTCATGAAGCTATATTGATGGTCCCCGGTTCTGGTCTAGTGAAAGTGTTTAATTTAAGAACATAATAAGAACATAAGAACTAGGAGCAGGACTAGGCCGTCTGGCCCTTCGAGCCTGCTCCGCCATTCAATAAGATCATGGCTGATCCTTTCGTGGACTCAGATCCACTTACCCGCGTTCTCACCGTATCCCTTAATTCCTTTATTGTCCAAAAAAAACTACCTTTTTTTTAAAAGCGTTTACTGAAGTAGCATCAACTACTTCACTGGGCAAGGAATTCCATAGATTAACAACCCTCTGGGTGAAGAAATTCCTTCTCAGTTCAGTCCTAAATCTGCTCCCTCTAATCTTGAGGCTATGCTCTCTTGTCCTAGCTTCACCTGCCAGTGGAAACATCCTCTCTACTTCTATCTTATCTATTCCCTTCATAATTTTATATGTTTTTATAAAATTCCCCCTCAATCTTCTGAATTCCAATGAATATAATCCCAATCTACTCAGTCTCTCCTCATAAGCCAACCCCCTCAACTCAGGAATCAACCTAGTGAACCTCCTTTGCACCCCCTCCAGTGCCAGTACATCCTTTCTCAAGTAAGGAGACCAAAACTGCACACAGTACTCCAGGTGTGGCCTCACCAGCACTTTGTACAGCTGCAACATAACCTCTCTGCTTTTTATTTCAATCCCTTTAGCAATGAAGGACAAAATTCCATTTGCCTTCCTAATTACTTGTTGTACATGCAGACCTACCTTCTGTGATTCATGCACAAGGACACCCAGGTCCCTCTGCATAGCAGCATGCTGCAACTTTTTACCATTCAAGTAATAATCCTTTTTACTATTACTCCTACCAAAATGTATGACTTCACATTTATTTACATTGTATTCCATCTGCCAGACCTTTGCCCACTCACTCAATGTATCTATGTTCCTCTGCAAAGTTTCACAGTCCTCTGCACACTTTGCTTTGCCACTCATCTTAGTGTCATCTGCAAACTTTGAACCCTACACGTGGTCCCCAGCTCCAAATCATCTATATAAATTGTAAATAATTGCGGTCCCAACACCGATCCCTGAGGCACACCACTAGTCACTGACTGCCAGCTAGAATAGCACTCATTTATCCCCACTCTTTGCTTCCTGTTAGTCAACCAATCCTTTATCCATGCTAATACTTTACCCTTAATGCCATGCATGCTTATCTTATGCCGTAGCCTCTTGTGCGGCACCTTGTCAAAGGCCTTTTGGAAGTCTAGGTACACCACATCCACTGGGTCCCCATTGTCCACCTCGCTCGTAATGTCTTCATAGAATTCCAGAAGATTTGTCAAGCATGACCTGCCCTTCTTGAACCCATGCTGTGTCTGCCCAACGGGACAATTTCTATCAAGATGCCTTGCTATTTCTTCCTTGATAATAGACTCAAGCATCTTCCCCACTACAGAGGTTAAGCTAACTGGTCTATAATTCCCCATCTTTTGTCTACTTCCCTTTTTAAACAGTGGCGTCACATTTGCTGTTTTCCAATCTGCTGGGACTGCCCCAGAGTCCAGCGAATTTTGGAAAATTACCGCCAGTGCACCTGCTATTTCTCCCGCCATCTCTTTTAGTACCCTGGGATGCATTCCATCAGGGCCAGGAGACTTATCAATCCTTAGCTCCATTAGCTTGCCCAACACTACCTCTTCCGTTATAATGATTGTTTCCAGGTCCCTCACCTACCTTCGTCTCTTTGTCAATTACTGGCATGTTATTCGTGTCCTCCACTGTGAAGACCGATACAAAATACCTGTTCAATGCCTCGCCCATTTCATCATATCCCATAACTAAATTCCCCTTCTCATGCTCTAAAGGGCCAACGTTTACTTTAGCCACTCTTTTTCGTTTTATATATTTATAGAAACTTTTCCTATCTGTCTTTATATTCTGTGCTAGTTTTTTCTCATGTTCTATCTTACTTTTCCTTATAGCTCTTTTTGTGGCTTTCTGTTGACCTTTAAAGTTTTCCCAATCTTCTAGTTTCATGCTGTTTTTGGCCACTTTGTATGCCTTCTCTTTCAATTTGATAGCCTCCCTTATTTCTTTAGACACCCATGGCAGATTTCTTTTCTTACAGTCCTTCCTTTTCATTGGAATATACTTTTGCTGAGCACTTTGAAAGATTGCTTTGAAAGTCCTCCACTGCTCGTCAACTGTCCCACCATAAAATCTTTGTTTCCAGTTTACTTTAGCCAAGTCCTCCCTCATTCTATTGTAGTTCCCCTTGTTCAAGCACAGGACCCTTGTATTGGATTTTATCTTCACACTCTCCATCTGTATTCTAATTTGTTTCTGGGAAACAGGTTAGGAGCAGTCCCCAAGACACAAGATCAGCAGAAAGGAATCCTTTGTTTAAGAGCTTACAAATTTATTGTCACAATTTATTACAGATCATCGGGCATTTAAAAACACTTGCATTTCCGTCACCAAAAGCCTGTGCCCCTTTTAATTGGAGTGTGAACCTTTACAGAGATCTCAGCAGGATGTCTCAGTGCAATCAGACTGCCATCCCTGTCTCGCACACTTTAACCTTAAAGGTGTACCCTGAACTCAGCTGCCCCTTACGTTACTCCTTCGCATCCTGCACTCAGAGTGAATCTGCTCCCTCTCTTCTTCAAAGGCCCGTTCTCAGCTACGATCAAACACCATCGTTTGGCTGAATTAAGCCAGTGTCCCCTTTAGGTCATTTCTGAATTGCCCCCAGAGGTGGAATGTATGGTTGAGGTTCTTAGGAAGAGCAGGTAAGATCTCAGGGAAAGGACAATTCTTGGCTCTGGGGCTGGGGGAATATCACAAAAATAGGAAATGGCACCCATTAGAATACACCCACCCATTATTCACCTACTTATAACCTGTTAGCTATCCCCAACCATTTCCAAGAGTCATGCATCCCTGGCCAAAACCATTATGTGCCCACCAACACCCCATTGGGTAAAACGAGCGAAGGAACACTTCCCCTGAAATACACATTGAAACATAGCTTTTTGACATTACTTGCCTGGATGTGTAACAAATATTTAAACCTGATGTATTGGCCCAGTGACACAGGGGAGATAGAGAGAGAGTCACTGATGACAGAGCTACAGAGTTGTGAATGACTTTGTTCAATTCCACATTCTTATCAGCTGTGGGAGAAAGTAACTAGAAGGTTGGTTTAATTAAACAGTAAAGCTAATACCCACCCACCCCAGCAATTGCAATTCCGCATTCGCTGTTGGGAATATCAGAGAAATTAATTTGTTAACTGTGATTTCCTCCAACCCTGCATTGTAAAGTGCATTGTGGCATTAACATAGATTTGGGATTGATACAAGATCAGGGGAAGAGAGCGGGACGTTGGGATTAGTTTAAGATTGATACAGGACTATGGAAGAGAGCAGGGCAGTGGGATTAGTTTGGAGATTGATACAGGGCCATGGGGAGAGAGTGAG